CCCGACGCCCCCCGCTGCTCTATTTTTACGTGCGCGAGCGCGCGCCGCCGACGCGGGCAGAGGCGGAGGGCGGCCGAAGGAAAGCAGCGAACGCAACTTTCCATTTTATTTGTCAACGGCACTTCTTCTCGCCGACGACGCCCCTTCTCTTCTCTTCGCCTTCCTTTTAGGAGGGGGAATAGGAGGAAAAAAGGAGCGTGTGCCCCAGCGGAGCAAACTGTTGCCTGTGGAGCGCCGTTGACCGGGATATCCAAGGGTTCGAGTCAGGGCCCGGCAACTCTCCATCAAAATTGAGGACAAAGCTAGAGGTTGCTACTATAGGATGCGCTAGTGTCGCCGGATGCAGCTGCTGGTAAGGCTCGCCAACTTTCCAACATAAGAATTAGTCACGAAATACGAATACACTTTGATTATGAAAGATTTCTGAAATAAATTATAAAAGAAGTTCAATACCATCTGTTTATTTTCTAAAATTCATTTATTCATAACAATACACGCACGAAAGGAAAGGTAGAGCGAACAGTGGCGCGATCTTTTGCATCAAGCGCGTGTGTTTGCGTCCTGAGAACCCACGCACGTTGTAAATAACGTTGGTATCAGTTCGTATTTTAGTTCATGTAAGAAGGTGATGCTCTAGAGCGGACCACTGTAATGGTTCCCGCCTTGTTATATGGAAGTTATAGGGCCCTGGTTCGAGTCCCGATGTTGGTATTATTTTCGACTACATAGTACAATTTATTTAGTCGTTCTATTGACATAAATCAGCTGTTGCTGTTCAATCCAATCGGGAGCTTGTATGTCGCTACAGTGACGTAACTCGGGGGACGTTCAAACTCCTGATTGGATGAAACGTGAACCACGGATTTACTTGAAATGCACGTTCAAATAAATCCTAGTGTAGCTAGACAGGTCGAATTCAGGCATCTGGAGGAGGATTCTAGCGGCCGGCTCAACTGATGATGATCGTAACCCCGCAATGAAGACATGTGCTACACTTGCGGGACTAATGAACTTAGAAGTAGACGCGTACGGAATCACCAATCGACCAATCCAGAGATTTGAAAATATAGATAAACAGTTTAGAACTGAATTAGCAAAAACATGAAATTTGAGAGGGTATACTTGAATTATACTCCCATACTGATGGTAGTTGATACTGGCTATCAAAGATCAAATATGATATAAGTGTTCAATTGTGAATATTGTCTTTAAAAGTGAGAAATGAGAATTCAAATAGGTTTGTTTTTTTCACTGAAGTGTCGAATTTTGGTTTAATTACCCCATCTGATGGCAGTAATACCCAATTAAATGGCAGCAATGTGTGTTAATTCGTAAACATTTCAGAATAGACAAAATCTCTTTCTAAAAGTTATTCTTTGGGGAGGATTAGGAACTATCATTATGTTCACATCAAGTAATGAACTAAATCCCACCTGCCTGTGCTCTGAGGTAGGAAATGTATTGAACTCATTTATCTCCATTGATAAATCTACGAGTAAATTAGGTGTAGGTACGCGCATGTCGTGAAACGCAAATCACTGCTAAATTGAATGACAAAAATACGCCAAGGTAGCAGGACGAAGAATTGCTTCTTTGCGTTTATTTACAGTGGAAAGTTGCATTCTCTGAGAGTCCGGTCGCCTGAAGAACTTAGAAAGCCCGACCTCGAACATTGAATTTTTGCAACAGGGCGACAAAGTTCACTTCGCGTGGGAGGCAATGGGGCTCTTTTCTCCTCAAGTCCATGACTTTTTCGTTTTCTCTTCACTCGAAAATTTGCTTGTTCACTGCTTCAGCATCAA